CTCGTCTGAAATGATTTTTCTGCCTATGTTTATTGGGCCTGACTTAGATAAAGTAATTAATAAAAGTTAACAAATAGATGGTATGCATAAGACATTCTTATTCTCATGCTTTTAGTAGACATTGCTAGTTGACTATATTAATTTTTTTGACTACATTAATTTTTTTGTTAATATACCCACATATTTATTCATTCATTTATCTCACAACTATTTTTTTTAAGAAAATCTACTATGTGCCTGAGCCAGGTTGTAATGTTTTAAACCAGTTTTACTGGAATTGGCACTTGTGCACATTTGTCATTCTAAGGGGGTTTTGTGTGTGTGGTATTTTTCATAGGTCTGTGGATGAGCATAATACTTATCTCTCAGGATGAACTGGGTATCATACCTTGTTTTTTCATTATTTGGAACTGATTACATAATATGAAAACATTTGTTTCTTGAATATGTAGAAATGTTGTTCAGTAAATCTGTTTACATTCTTTTTGTTTTGGTAGATGAAGTATTTCTTTAGTAACTTTCTCATTTTCTTTGTTCTAATTCATCATATTGTTTGTGTTTTTATATCTTGTTTTGCCAATTTTATAATTTTATTTTGTATTGCCCATTTGGCTAAATATTTGAATTGATTATCATAAATTGTGCATATAATCATTTATTCTTTAAAATCCTTTATATCAATTGTTAAATTACCAGTCTTTTTTAATTTTGTTGTTTTATACTATTTAATTTATTTATTATATTTCCAAGGGGCTTAATATATCTTACAATCTTCTCAGAAAATCAGCATTTAAATTTATTTATGTCCACTGACTTTCTGTTTTCCAGTTTATTTATTTGTTTTTCGTCTTTATTATTTTCCCTTATGTTTATTCCTTCCTTTTTATAAGATTTTAAATCAAGTGTTCAGTCACTTATTTCATATTTCTAAAATGTATCTACATCAATTTCATAATATTCCAAAGTTATTATCATATTCTTAATTTCCTACTTAACCCTGTTGGTTAGGAGAATTTTTGTTGCTATTGTTAGCAGTTGTCACCCATTTATTTGTTTGTGGTTGTTGTAAATGTTCATTTTTATATACTTTTAAACTTACAAATTAGTTAAAAGATCAATATGAAGAGCTTTTGTTCAGCCTTCACTAAGGTTCATCATTTGTTTATATTTTGTGTGTTTATCGTTTTCCCTGATTACTGTGTTGCTCATTCTCTCTCTCTTTCTATAAATCTTTTTCTAAACTGTTGAGAATAAGTTGCAAATGTACATACCTACCTATCTAAACACTTCAATGAATGTTTTCTGAGACAATGTCTATTATAAAAGTCAGGAAACTTAACAGTTATAAAAACTGCAAGATTTTATATTGATGTAATGTGATTATCTAATTCCATAGTTCATATTTAACTTGTCAGTTATCCCAATATAGTGTTTTATATATACTATACTATACATTTATATAAATATATTTATATAATCATATTTAACTTTATAATTAATTTAAATTAAAATTAATTTAAATTTATATTTATTTTAAGATGTATATATATTGTGTATTATACACACACACACACATACATACAGAGATAGAGAAAGGAAGAGAGATTGAGAGTATTTTAGAATTGGCAATAATGATGATGAAAGTGGCAACAACTGAAATGGTTACTTGTTTGTAGCAACCACCACCTATAAGGCACTCAATATATTAATATTTATATTTTTATATTATGTTCTAAAGAAGTTTGTATTTATTTTTGTATTTATTATTGTTTTTTTTGTATACTTATTATATACTCATAGTAGAAAAATAAGGCAAAGTAACAAAAATCACTAGATACCTCAGGGTATAGAGAGAACCACTGTTTGTATTTAGGCGTATATTTTTTAGACTTTTGCTTTCAATCAACAAAAATCAGAACTTTTTGTCTAGTCAAATAAAATATGAGTGCATTATAGACATGGATTCCTACTGCATGATATGTAGTTTTAACCTTCTTTTAAGTCTTAATATTATATTATTTTACATACTTACAGTTGATATTTAAAACAACTTTAAATAAAAGGTAGCAAAGTAGAGCTATCTTTTTAGATGAAGAATCCAAGGTTCAGAGAGGTTCAATAAATTGCATAGGTCACACAGCAGTAAGGGATGGAGTTATAATCCAAACCGGGGCTGTCTGCCTCCAAGTTTGTAGATTAGATCACTGTGTGCCCAGAGCTCCTTTCAGTTTTTTACTTATATCATTAATATTTAGTTTTATTGCACTGTGGTGAGAAAATATATATATATGTAATTTTCCTTTTGATTCACTTTTGGTGCCTTATTTGAGAGTTAGTATCTATGTACCAATGCCCTATACATTGAAAAAGATGGGTAGTTTATGTGTTATAAAGTTGAATATATGTCTACTGGTTCTAACTTATTAACTGTAAAGTATTCATAACCTGTATGTTATTTTTCAAATTTGTATCTATTTTTTGTGACATCTTCAATATCTTCTAAATTTGTCTAATTTTTAAGATTGTCTAATTTTTGTCTTAGCCTGATAATGAATTAACATTTCCCATTTCAGTTTTTTTTTAAATTTATTTATTCTATTCTCTGCATATTTGACTGGCAATCCATATCCCCACTGTTGATTTTACATATATTTTTTATTATAGTCAAGATCCTCTTTGCACCCTCCCTCCTCATTTTGGCTTCCAAATCTCTTTTATATGATATCAACTTTACCAACTTTGCAACATTTTTCTTTTTGTTGTATGAGTTTCCACAATAACATATATATTTTTTTTACTTTTAGCATTTTCTGTTATAGATACAGATTTTTAAGCAAAAAACATATTATTTGGTCTGATGTTTTAATCGATATGAGAATTTGTCTTTGGAGAAATGAGTGGCCTAAAAATATGGACTCCGCTGGGATGCAGATAGTGGAGTGATATGAGCTGGCCCCTCAGCTCCTGGCTGGGCGGTCTGCAAGTTATGTCATTTCACTGAGGAAGTTATCTGTTTCCTCATCTCTAAAATCTTGTTAATAAGAGTATCACCCTCATAGAGTTATTGTGAAGAGTAAAGGAGATGAAGAACACTGAGAAATAGAAGCATGTTAAACTGTTATTTGTAAAAGGTAATTGTCATTATTTATTATCATAGAAGTCATGCCTGGAAATATCATTCAAAACCTTTCTTGGCAACAGTATATAAAGGAAGTTCCCTAAAACAAAGATCTTTGCTCGAAATGGGGATAACCGTTTCTCCATATTTTCTCTAACCATGTCTCGGATTTCTCTCGGAGATAATGGGAATAACTTACAACAAAATTGCTGAGAGCCTGTGGTGCCATACTCCTCAGGCTTCAGCTTAGCTTGTCCAGCTCTACTTCTGGCTACGTGGTAGAGTTTCACAGTTTGACTTAAATTTAGCCATGTCAGGAGTCACTGTCTTGTTTTCCATTTAATTAAGTATTTAAGTTGTAACAAATAAGTTGTTTGCTCTCATGATGGGTATTGAAACTGCAGGCTTAGTCGTCCTTGGCTCTTCTTGGCAGGTGTGGGAAAACCTGAAACTAAGAAAATCAAACACCAATGAATTTTTCTGCTTCCTGGATTAGGTACCTTGCTCATCCAGTGGAAGCTGCCTGGTGGGCAACCAGATATGAGGACTGTCTCTGGGCCCGTGGTTCCCCCCACAGCGGTCCTCTGCACAACCTCTGCTCAAGTACAGCTGTTGGGAGGTAAAACAAAATTCTTATTCTCCTCTGTTCCTGAGGACCAAAGAGGGGCAGAGAGGAAAGCTCAAAAGTCTGAGGTTTAAACTAGGGCCCATTTTTAACTTTCTAAAATGGTCTTTGAGTTTTAGAATCCAGATAACCTTAAATCACACAATGCTATATTACCAAACTGAAGAGTAAATATCGTAATCTATAATATAGTATAATCTGATGAACTCCAGAATGGTATGACTTATTTTTAGTTGATGGCTTCAAATCTCTGATGGCTTCTCTTTGATCACACAGAGGGGATATATGGGCCCTCACCTGATGCAATAGAGAAGTTTCCTTAAACTTCTCTGATAATAATCACCATTTTATGTCTTGTTAAACATACACTTCTAAGTCCCTCCCTGGAGATTCAGGTACAGTAGGTCTAAGATAGGACCTCAGATTTGAGTTCTTAATGTTAGAAACGCTTGGGAAATATTGGAAGAGAATGAGGGAATAGCCTGTTTTTAGCATTAGACAGGCTTAAATCCTGGGCCTTTCACTTACTACTTACGTAGTCTTGCACAAATTATTTAACCTTTCTTAACTTAATCTTTAAAAAAATTGGAGAGGAAACCTCCATCTCAAAGTATTGTTGACAGGGTTGAAAGGACTGAAGCCCTTTATGACATCCATTTCGCTGAGTGCTGCTAAATCATTTCTATCTGGGTTAATTTGAAGATGAGCCATGAACTTATTTAGTACATAGTATCATTATTTAAACGTATCTTTCCCATTTATTCAGCATGTATTTGTAAAGCTTCTACATTGTGCAAGGAACTGGGATTCAAAGCACCTCCCTTGTGGTTTGGTGTGCCCACACGGCCCATCCCAGGCTGCTGAAGAGACTGCCCAGGTGTCTTGTGTGATGGACTTCACATAGCAGTCCCCTAATTATTTAGGGGGCTTGCTGAGGTTAGGAGTGCCATGTTCTTATTCTTCCCTGTGCTACAAATTCCAGTTTTCTTGAACCCAATCACGTAATATTTGTAAATTTAAGTTGTACAATATGATGTATATACATGTATACATTGCAAAAATGAATACTATAATAAGATTTGTTAACATCTTTATTCCTTCACATAAACAATTTTTGTGAGTATTATGATAACATTTAAGATCTACTCTCTTAAAAGTCAAGTATATAACACAGTATTGCTGATTACAATTTCCATGCTGTACACTGGATCTGCAAATCTTACAGATGGGAGTTTGTACTCTTTGACTAACATCTAAAAATTCATGAAACAGTTCATGAATTTGTGTGCTGTCCTTTAGCAGGGACCAAGCTAATCTTCTCTATATAGTCCAATTTTAGTATATGTGCTGCTAAAGCGAGTACTGTGTGTGTGTGTGTGCATGTGTGTGTGTGTACTTTTTTTCTTCAACCGAAAATATACATTTACATTATTCCATTTGATTTTCACACAAAAATGTTCTAGGTGATTTACATTATGCAGTTTTCCCTTCCTGGATAGAAAAGCATTTGTACTTTTTTTCTTCCATCCTAACAGCAAGAATGCAATGGATTTCTGAGGAATAGACTTATACTTTCTATTTATCTTTGTTTCAAAAGGATTTAAGGCAATTTTTTAAGATTGTCTAATATTTGTCTTAGCCTGATAATGAATTAACATTTCCCATTTCAATTTTTTTAAAATTTACTTATTCTATTCTCTGCATTTTTAACAAACAATGCAAGACATATTAAAAAGAAAATATAAGTAGGGAAGATGGGGTGGGAAAAGGAAGGTAAGTTGATGAATGAGGTAACACATCAAATACATGTATCATCCTTCTCACGCCCCCATCATGGGCCAAGCGTTTGGCTCTGAACTCTCAAACCATCACTGCAAACCCTCTGCAGACAAAAGACAAAGGGGATGACCCTCATGCCAAATATCAGGGTGATCATCTCTATGAGTTCCAAACACTGTTACAACTTTTCCACTATCTCAAGACTTCAGGCCCTCATCAACATTAAGGTCGTTAGGAATCTACAGAGGGCACAGGAATTAACACAGAAAGCTATGTGCTCTCCAACATTCCAGCCAAATACAAAATGGACCAAGAAATAAGAAGGTCTCTTGCTGCAGAGGAGATGGTAGCTGGGTGGAAGAGCTGGGCCAAGGTTGAGCCAGTCCCCTGGGCCAGAAGCTGTAACCATGGCAACAATAATGATGGTGGCTCTACCCCAACCAGCAATCACAATACCCTTAAGAGGCAGCAGCAAATAGGTGAGCCTGCTACACTTCTGGGCTGGGCTCTTGGTGAGGGAAGTATATGTAATTTTTATACATAATCACTGGGTGCAAAAAAACAGCCTCTTTCATGTTCACCTTGCAAACTCATTTCTATAATGTAAAGGCAAGTGTCCAGCTGCACGGCCTGGCTGAGGCCAGGTGTGTGAGGTGTGTGTCTCTTGTATAGGAAACCTGCAGCCTGCCTCAGCTTTGCCTTCTATTTATTGTTTTTACTTTCTAATAACAGTGCTGCACAGGACTTTCAACAAGAAAAGCCTGGAGGAGGGTAGCTGCTTTTGAAGCCACCGCTCTTGTCTGCCTCATTCATTTCAAACAGAGGTATTCCTCAAAGAGACGAAGGCCTGTGTACAAACAACAATACCCACTGTATTCTCTTGCCATCAGCTGTGATGTAGTAGCTTTTGATTCTGCACAGAAGCTGCCTTGTTTAGAAACTGATTGATGGTTCTTCTGAATGAAGGAGGCAATAAGAACAAACGAGCAGGGCTTCTGGTAAGGCAAGGTACTTCAAGAGAATGGGCTTGAAAGCACTTAAAATAAAATGTAAACACAAACCTCGATGAAAGTGAAAAATTCTGAAAGGCATCGATCTGTTTCTGGTTGATAATTTGTAGTTCCTAAGGATCCTCCATGTGTTTGTGCAAACACATGTAAGCTCCTTAGAGACATCTGACTGGGGATTTTGGACACTTTGGTGGAGGGGAAAAAAGTTAAATCCAAATAGATGTCATAAAGCAAGACAATCCAATTGAAATAAAAAACACAGGCAGTCTGAGTTGGGTTTATGGAAGTGGAACAGAAAGCAATGCATTGAAAGAGATGGTAATGAGGCATCTCTGTATAGGAAAGAACATGTGATTTCTCTTCAGAAAGTCATGCAAAGACCTGCAGACTTTTTATAAACACCATGGGCAGTGTCTGTACCTGCTCCACGTAAGCTCTGGAAGATGGGCTCCTCTTCCCCAAAACCCTTGTCCTTCCCTTTTACCTGAGAGAAACAAACCTGTTAAAAATTGGCATGAGAAATCTAGTCGTATAAAAAATTTTTTAAAAAACTTATATATACTTGTCATATAATGTTATATTAGTTTCAGGTGTAAAATGTGGTGATTTGAGATATACTTTACAATGCGATCACTGCACTAAGTCTAGTGATCATCTGTCTATGGGAAGGCTTATCACAATATTGACTATATTCCTTTCATCTTTATCAATTGTCTCTATTAATTGTGATTTTCAATTGGGTTTTCTGTTGCTTGAAGCTGAGTGTATGCTTACTGATACACTACCCTTCCTAAGGAACAAGTATAGTAGGTGGAACACAGAGGCACATGAATTTGAGTGAGTGTACAGGCTGAGGATCAGGCTTTTGGCCCAGGGAGGAAAGGGCCCAAAAATGTTCAGGGGGCCATGAAGGACAAGTATTCCTTGAGAGTCCAGCGCAGAAAAATATTTGTGGTCATGAATCTATGCTATGTACTAAGTACTAGTCATATGACCTTGGACCTTTCACTTAACCTTGGTGAGCCTGAGTTTATTCATCCTCAGAGTGTGGATAACAACACCTTAGGTCACTTGGTTTTATGAAGCTCAGATTTGATTGTGCATGTATGTTGCTTTAGACATTTTAAAGGGCGGCCCTGGTATCAGGTCAGGGCCTAGCGTGGCGCCTGGCACACAGGAGGTACGCTCGAAGAGTATTTGTTGGGTCAACATGCCATGCCTGTTGTCCACGTGAGGGCTGTGGGCACTGCACCATGAGTTTGGGGGTTGGGCTGCTATCTGACTAAGTGCTCCATGTAGTGTCTACTCCAGACATAACTTCAGGGATTTTATTAAATGCTTTTTTTCTTGGCAGAGATGTATCAGGTACTGCAGCCTGGATAGAGAATTCAGCTTTTGTTTTCTATGTATTTTCCACTAAATATGCTCTGATGAGGTGTCTGTTTTGATCAAGGACACTGTCAATTATTCCTCCCATCTGACTGTCTCCATGATTTAGGGTGTGAAGACATCTGGTGACTTTAACCTATCACTGTTGTGTGAGATGCTTTGGCTCCAATCAACAAAGTTGTGTCCAAGGCAGGCTGGCTCCCTGTGAAGTCCCAGGCTGCTGACTCAGGCATCCGCCAGGTGACAGGTGGTGCCTTTAAGTCACTGTAGAACAAAAGGAGACAGTCACAACTGGTTATTTAAAACTTCCCTGTGCCAGACTAATCAGGAAACTATTTGTTTCCTTCAAGCTTACCCCCTGTAACATTATCCACTTTTCCACGACCACATCCATAGTTACACTCTCCGTGTTCACTCCTGGGTCTCCCTGGCTCTTGGCCTCTCCCTGCCGGACTCCTGGGACTGCTGCTGGCAGCTGACTCTCTGACACTAAGCTTTCCCCAGTTCCAGTCTTGCCACACTGGATGCGAAACATGCAGAACCACCACTGAGGGCCGAAAGCTTGGCATAGGAAAGAGCTTTGTTTCAGGTTTCTCCCTAGAAGGAATTATATTGGAGTAAGACAGGGAAGAAGGTCCAGGGCTCGGGAGCTAAAAGGCATCGGGCTAGTGAGACTGGAGTCACTGCGCTCTGGAAGACTTAATGAGTAACAAGAGGTTGAACATAATATGTAAGTGCTAAGACATAGCTCGTGTGACACTGATGGACATGGGGTGGGGAAGTGCGGGGTCAGTGACGAGAGAGCTCACCCTCACTGCGGAGAGGCAAAGAACATCTTGATACTAAGGAGGCAAAGCCACGAGTTGCAAGTCATCGGCTTGAGGATAAAGAATGGACACAAGAGTCAGAAGACAGGAATTTGAGACCTGCTCTATCCCTTGCTTTCTCCGTGATCCAGGAACCCCTCGGTCTCCTCATCTGTCAAGGAGACTCCAGTACTGCTGGCCTCATGGGATCTAAAATGAACATGACAATACAATTCCGTTTGTCATTTTCACTTTATTTCTCCAAGTTTGATACAAAGTCACTTGTAAAGGGGCCACCTCTCCTCCCCTGGGGCACGGTGAGAGTTATGGGCACGGCCTTTGTGCAGGATGTGACTTCGACAGAGGCAGGATGGTGACAGCTCTTCGAATGGGTCACAAGAGATCCCCTACCCTACTTGATGGCTCAGAGGTTTAGTCGGAAAAAGTACTCAGCTTCTAAGGAGCTGGACTAAAGACCTAGATAGTCCCAATTTACAGTCACAGGTCAGTTCAGAAGGAAACATGAGCCAGTAAGGAAAAGTGGTTTTGAAAATAGGTCAACATCTCAGACATTCTTAGAGTTGGAAAGAAACCCAGAGGGTGCCTGAGAGATGGCCCCCCAGGTTCTGAGCCCTGCCGGTGAGGGGGCTCCCTGCCCCAGATGGCAGCTCCTGCTCTGGGCATGTCTGCTTTCTCACCCCATCTACCCTCCTCCGCCGTAATTTCATCCCGTGTCTGTCCACAGACCCTACAGCCCACACATAGGCCCTCTTCCGCACGTCAATGCCAAATGTTTGCCCCACTCTCTTTTTAAACATTTCTGGATCTCTTCATTTGCTTCTGCTTAGCTACTCTCTTTAGACATATTCAAGTTTTCTAATTTAATTTTTAATACAACTTTTTATTTGAAATCATTGTAGATTCATATGCAGCTGTAAGGAATCTCTGTGCCATCTACCCAGTTGTCCTACCGCCTAGAGCTAATAAACGTTTGCTCAGTAAGTGAATTGACTCCCCAAACATAAAATTGACTGTTTGATTTGGGCGGCCCCAGCACTGGGTAGCGTGGGGTGATTAGGGCGAAGAGGAGGGGATGTGAACCATGACAAAAAATGGCCCCTGCCCCCATGTAACGTACAATGCCCGACTCCGAGCGTGGCCTGGTTGACCTAATCTTCTTTCTGGGCTTCGCTCTCGGGGGTGTCCAGGTCCTATGTGTGTCCACTGTCAGTCCCAGTGGGACCAGCTAAAGCTCCTCTGTCACAAGCCTGTTCTAGAGGAGCGCCAGAGGGCACGAACCCGCCCCCTATACCCCCAACTCAGACATCCACGCCATTTCGTAAAGGAAAGCCACTTTTGTAACTGTCAGAGTTGGACTA